GAAGGGGCAGAGAGAGAGTGAGAGGGAGAGAATCCCAAGCAGGTCCTCGATGTCAACGCAGAGCCCCATGTGGGGCTCGATCTCATGAACTGTAAGATCATGACCTGAGCTGAAATCAAGAGTTGGAAGCTTAACTGACTGAGCCACCCAGGCGTCCCAAAGGTCGTCCTTTTTAAAGTGTAAGACCCAAAGAGAATATAGGCAGAAGGTCTTGGTCCTTTTCTGCCGATTTCATCTTGCATGTTGAAACCACTACATCACCAGTTGGCCAAACTGGAAACAGAAATCACCCTAGCCTTACCTCTCCCTCACCCTCCAAATGCCCACCAAGTCCTATGGATTCTACCCTTAAAAGTTTCTTGAATCTACACAATGCTATCATTCCCACTGCTATGTCCTTTCCTCAGACCCTTATCACCGCTTATCTGAACTTTTCCAGTAGCCTTCTATCTGGTCTCCCTTCATACGGACCTCCTCCCCCAATTATTTGCTAGGCTGCTACGGGAGATTCTTCCAGAATGCAAGTCTGGTAGTGTTTCTATAACCTAAAACTTTTTAGTGTTTTCCCGTGACCCTTAGGAACTCTTTCCTACTGGCAGAAAGCCATCTAAGATTTGGACCCATCTAATATTTTCAGCTGCAAATGCTCACCTCCTCCCTTGCAAAGCTGTCCTTCAGCCTTGTTGAACTCCTGGCAGATTCCCAAACAGGCCAGAAGGCTTCAAACCTCCCACAGAGTCTCCATTCCCTCCTTCTGAATGGATTTCCTTCAACCTTCCCTAAAGAAATCCCATTATTATTCAAAATTCAGTTTAAGGGTTATTTCCTCCCTGAAGCCAGGTTTTTTGTTTTTTAATGTTTATTTATTTTTTGAGAGAGAGAGACAGAGTGCGAGCAGGGGAGGGACAGAGGGAGAGGGAGACACAGAATCCGAACCAGGCTCCAGGCTCTGGGCTGTCAGCACAGGGCCCCGATGCAGGGCTTGAACTCACAAGCTGTGAGATCATGACCTGAGCAGAAGCCAGACGCCCAACTGACTGAGCCACCCAGGCACCCCAAATTTTAAACTCCGTTTTAGTGCCACTTCCCTTCTTTCTCCTTCCTGTAGCTCGCTGTCTGGAGTCCTCTGGAGTTACTTCCATGGCAGATGTCATTGTTCGATGTTTGTCCAAGCAAGGACCATCTACATCATAATCTCTTTGTTGTTGGACTTTTTAAAATATTTATTTGTTTGTTTGTTTGTTTGTTTATTGAGAGAGGGTGCAAGTGAGTGAGGGACAGAGAGAGAGGGAGAAGGAGAGAGAGAGAATACCATGAGGGGCAGAGAGAGAGGGAGAGAGAGAGAAGCAGGGCTCACCCAAAGCAGGGCTTGAGGTCATCCGGTGAGGGCTTGAACTCATGAACCATGAGATCATAACCAGAGCCGAAATCAGATGCTCCACTGACTGGGCCACCAGGCACCCATAATCTCGTTTTTTGAAAAGTTTTTTTCTACTGTTTTACTTCTTTAAAAAATATTTATCATCACCATCATCACCATTGCAGATTCCTGTGCTCCAAAACTACTAAATCAGTCCATGGACCTGGGTGAAGAATTTGCTCTTAAAAAAATCTGCTAGATTACTGGTCATGTTCTGTTTCTTGATCAGGTGCTAATTACACACAGTGTTTATTTGTGTGGAATTCACTGAGCTCTGCCCTTAGATTATGTATACATTTCTGTATGTATGTTACATTCAATGAAGAGTTAAAAAGTAAACACTCCCCAGGCTATTTTTATAGCACTGATGGAGAAGCACTGACTTCTCTCTTGCTATTGAGTTGTAAGCTTTTAGAGGGTAGTGAGGGTATCTATGCTGTCTCTGTATTCCCACCATCTGTTTTAGTGCCTACAGTATAGTACACACTTAATGAATGACTAGTAAATAAATGAATGAATGAACAAAGGGAGAGAAGTGGCTTGAGGGTTCCTTCCTCCCTCACTCTTTTCTAAACATTGTTCCATGCCCCTGCTGGAGCACGTGAGAGCTCCTACCTCAGAGTTAAACTTCCCAGATATATCTCCCCTGAATAATCCTGTGAGATGCCACCTGACTTCCTCTCTACCCCACATGCTTGGTGTGACTGATCCAGGGCACCAGCCTGACAAGGGCGGGAGAAAGGAAGCAGGTGGAGGACGTTCTGTCCCCAGTACTTCTGCCCTGCCTGGGTCTGAGCCACCTGGCTCAGGCGTTCCTCAACATGCCTGGGAATCAAGCTGGAGAGAGCATGTCCTTGGAGATACTGCATTGCTAAAGCTCCTATTTGCACCTCTGATATAAACTGCTTCCTAAATTACTCAGCTTAAGTTATGTGGGAATTTGAAAATCTTTGAATATTTAGGAGTAGCAGTAGAGATTTTTCAGCAGATTTACAGCAGAAAGTGAGAGACACCCTGGGTGAAATATCATGTAAGTCATTTATTCAGTCACAGGTAATTACCAAAAGTTTCCTAGGGATACAACGATGAACAGTCATCTGCCTTAATGGAGATCACAGTGTGTGTTTGGGGGGCGGGGTGCCGGGGGAGGGGGTGAGACAAATACTAATATTGAAAGAGGACTTCAACTACCTCTTTCAATATTACTATTTTGACCTCAAACTTATTTATTGATTAATTTCTTCTTTCCAGTTTATCTCTTAACCTCAGGCAAAATACCCTGTGGGCAAAGCATCCCCTAATGAGAACCAAAACTACCCACTCAAACAATAAGAACCACCCTGAGCCAGCAAGACCCTGCTTGACTGACCCCAAGACAATGATCAACCTCACCTTGACTGCCCAGCTGCATGTACCCACTGAACTTTGCCCCCTGTTTTCCTTATATAAACCTGGAAGTATTGTCAGCACTTTTGAGACAGTCTTTGACATGTTAGTCTGCTTCCTGGTATTGGCCTCACCGAAATCAATTCCTTTCTTGTTTCCCCACTACTTGTCTCTTTGCCTTTTGGATTTTGTCAGTGGCAAGTAGCTGAACCTGGTCTGTTTGGGACCCTCACAGCCAGGGGCTCCTACACCCCTGTGCCCTGGCTACAATATCTAGATTTTTCAGAGCAGTTATGATGTGCTGGGTGCTTCACATATATTAGTTAATTTCATAATTGTAACGACTTAGTTGATGTCCTATTAATATCCCCACTGACAAATAAGGGAACAGATGCATCGTAGAGTTACAAACTGATAGAGTAAGGAAGATACGGTGTAGGGAGTAGGAAAACCTGATCTAGTCCCAAGGGTCAGGGAAAGTTTCTCTAAATATAAGAGGTTGAAGCAGAGATCTGAGGATTGAGTCCAAATCTAGTGGACAAAGAGGTCTGGGGGAAGAGAATTTCAGCCAATGGAAATAACAGATGCAAAGGGAAAATAAATTGTTTGAGGAACTGGCAGGCTGCCCTATAGCAGGAGCACAGGGAGCTGGAGATGAGGCAGGAGAGGTAGGGGCCACAGCCCCAAGTTTTGTTTTGTTTTTTTCCTCTGTGTCTCAAATAGTATGATAAAGTCAGGGATAGAAGATTTAGGATTTCGCCCTGATTTTGCTCTTAACAACCTCAGCCATCTCTCTGTGGCTGTTTCCTTATCTGGAAAAATGAGTGGGCAGACCAGAGTTCTCAAGGGCCCCTATGGTTCCCAAGCTGTGGTTCTGGGTAGGGCGCTCCTGGAAGAAATTGCCAATTCAAGGCACAGGCCCTGGCTGCTGCTGAACGCACTGAGGCCCAGGGGCTTGGCAACCCAGTGGCCCAGGCAGCACTTGCTGGCCTCTGAGTCCTCTGTAGGTTAGGTAAATACAAATGATGGAGAACATCACGTATAATAAATCACACAGTAAATATGGCTGTGAACATGGTTTGTTCCTCTCACTCGACATGGGTGAACTGCTAATAATGTAGTAAAGATTACCACCTGTTTGAAGCATTTCCTGTGTGCCAGGATTGTACCAGTTACTTTAGATAGATTTCTCACAACAGCTCCTTGTTAGATTCAAAAGCTGAAGCCTCAAGGGATTACATAACTTTAGTAAAGTCCTCAGCACCCAAATTTGCCCTGCCTACGGAGCATGTCCAGTCCTGTTTCCTATTGCCAGGTGTGCTCACTTGAGCAATGACTCTCTCTGGGTTTGCTCAGTGGCCGAGTTGGAATCTGAACCCAGCTCAGACTCCAAAGGTTATGGTGTTGACCACCGGGCCATACTGCCTTCCCTTCTTAAAACACAGGCAACTCCTTATTCTATAAATAGGATCACTTTGTCTCTTGAAGTCCTTTCTGGGTGAGGAAAGTGCTTTTTATAGCTTGGGACTGCTTCTGCTTTCTTGGTCTCTTCCAGCACCTGTTAATCCTGCGTGCAGCTGTGTCCTTCACTGTCCTTACACTGTATTCCTAGGTTTCCTCCCTGCAGAAGACAACTCCGGGAAACCACATGGTGTCTGTCTGTGTGCCAGTAAAGAAATTTCACTCCCCTCCCTCCCCAAATCGGCCTACCTTTCTATAAATATTCCCTCTCCTCCCTCCACTCAGGCCTGTGAGTAGTTTGGTCACTTAACCAAACACACACACACTCACAAAGCAACGAGAGGAGGGGTGTTGGAGGGGACAGCGTGAATGACCTTGCAAAGGTGTCTAGCTCTCTGGGGACAGGATTAGCAAACTTGAAACCTCAACAAATATTTGTGTGCCTCCGTATTCCTCCCGAAGCTACCTGCTCCTCTTGCGCCAGCCTCGCTCAGTCCCCTCTCGGCCTCTCCGAGATACAAAGCTCAACCCGCCCATCTTTTTGCAAACCCAGAGAACTTCAGTCCCCTAGTTGAAACTCGTCTGTGGCGGTGGCGGGCAGCACTGGGCATGCTCAGTAGTGGGGACAGGTCTGGAAGGCAAGGAAGCCGCGTTTGAAGTCGCGCGGCCGGGGGAACAGGGGGAGGCGAGCCGTGGGGGCCCCGGCTGGGGGTCCGCGGGGATCCCCGATTCCGCGCCCGGAGCTGGCATGCTCCAGGCTGGCGCGGCGGGGCGGGCGCGCAGGGGGCAGAGCGCGGAGGAGAGGGGGGAGCCGGTGGGAGAAGGGGAGGAGCGCCGGGCTCGCCATCCCCCGGCGCCGGCTCTGCGGCTGCTGAATCGGAAACCGCAGGGAGGATCCGGGGAAATAAAGACGCCCGAGAATGACCTCCAGCGAGGCTGCCTGAGCCGGGGCCCGCGCGCCGCCGCACCAGCCTCCGGCATGGGCGACCGGGGCGGGCGGCCCGAGCACTCGGCCACGCACGCTCCGGGGCCCCCCGCCGACACCGGAGCTGCCGCCGTAAACGGGCTGCTGCACAACGGCTTCCATCCGCCGCCAGTCCAGCCGCTGCTCCTCTGCAGCCGGGGCCCCGCGGGCGGTGGCGACGCGGCACCCCCGCGCCTCCAGCTCTTGCCCGAGCTTCAGCCGCAGCCACCGCCCCCTCAGCACGACTCCCCCGCCAAGAAATGCCGGCTGCGGAGGAGGATGGACTCCGGGAGGAAGAACAGGCCGCGTAAGTCCCATCGCGAGCGGAACGCTGGCGCGAGGCAGGCGCATCCCGCGCGCCTACCACCCCGGGAGCCGCGGGCAGGCACCGCAGCGCGACTGGTGCGCCCCAGCGCCCGCTGTCGGGGGAGTGTACGGAGGGGACTCCGGGAACTGATTCTTTCCCCAGGGGCGCCAAGCACTAAAGATCGCTGCCTGAGCCTCACGCTTGCTTGCTTCCGTCTGTAGAATGGGCCGATTCAATGCGGATCCTGCGCTGCTCCTTCGGTCTTGGCTCTAGGCAAGGCCAGCGTACTGCCCGCCTTCCTAATTGGTCGGTGGGAAAATGCACGTGTGCCAACATTTCACGGGTTCCGGGAGTAGGCGTAGAGCGGGAGGGCCCTCTCCCTTCTCCTCGCCCCTTTTCCTTGTCAGAGTTCGTCTTTCTGGGTTGGCGCTCGGGCAGCCACCTTGTCCTTTGAATCGCAGAGTAGCCGCCAGTACCTCGGGTCTATTGGCAAACGCAAGGCCTGGAGGCGTGGAGTTTGACAACCCCCCAAATCACATCCTATTAAATGCTCTTTCCTCGCAGCCAATGAGAGGACCCGTTGGCGGGGGCACACCCACTGATACCATGTGGGCCGGAACTATGTGGACCAATGAGAATTAGAGGTGGATTTTTTTTTTTTCTGGGAACTGGGGAGGTAGAGTTGAGGGTTTCTAATGGTAGCTTGCGGCGTAAAAAGCTGAAAGGCGTTATTTCACAATCTAAAGCGTGTATATATGATGTTACTTTATAAAGAGTACCTTCCCTGCATGACGTTGTGGGATGTAAATTCGTAGATCGAGTTTACAACTGTTTTTTCCTATCTGAGCTGAACCTCCTTCTACTGGTTACCTCTTTCTGGGTGTCTTTAATGAAGCTTATAAATGGCAAAAAGCAAAGTAAGTAGAATGCATACTAATTAGCGATTGCATTCAAACACCATTTGCGTATGGGTTATTCTGTCTGATACGGAGAAATTGCTAGTATAGGTTTTGGATTTATCTGTAAAAGCTTGATATTTGGCAAACTTTTTTGTTTCTCTCTTTAGACTCGTAGGTTTTCTGCGCTCAGTTAAAATCTCTGAGACTTTGGAAAGTACTGATGTGGGACGGGATGACTCTGATGCTTGTATTTTGTAGATGTGAAATGTTTAGGCTGAAAGTTAACTTTGAAGCCACACAGATTTGGTGATTGTTGTAAGGAAGGCATCTATTTAGCACTTGAATTTGTACTTATTTTTGTTTTTCAGACTTGTTAGAAAATTACCTTCTTTATGGACTTGATATTGATTACTTATGATTTATTAACCTGTTTTACTTCTTTTGAAACCACATTTTAGTTATTTCTCTGATCTATGTTTACAAATCGCAGAACAGTTTGCAATGTAAATAGCTAAAGTATATCGAAAGAGAACTGTTTTGAGTTTTTGTGTAGTATAGCTAGCCTAAATGGTCTGTGAGGGTATATAACACCTTTAGAAATAATTTTTGAGGAATTAAAAGTACTCTCTCTTAATAATAGATTGGAGGCAGAGAAAAAATAATTTTGAGGCTTAACTTGAGCTTGCAAACCCACAAGGATTTTTTTTTTAATTTTTTTTTTAACGTTTATTTATTTTTGAGACAGAGAGAGACAGAGCATGAATGGGGGAGGGTCAGAGAGAGGGAGACACAGAATCCGAAACAGGCTCCAGGCTCTGAGCTGTCAGCACAGAGCCTGACACGGGGCTCGAACCCACAGACCGCGAGATCATGACCTGAGCCGAAGTCGGCCGCTTAACCAACTGAGCCACCCAGGCGCCCCAGGATTTTTTTTTAAGTTTTTAATTATTTTTTAAACGCTTATTTATTTTTGAGAGACAGAGAGAGACAGAGCACGGGCGGGGGAGGAACAGAGAGAGAGACACACACACACACAGAGAATCCCAAGCAGGCTCCAGGTTTGAACTGTGAACACAGAGCTCCACAAGGGGCTCGAACCCACGGACCTGAGCTGAAGTCAGATGCTTAACTGACTGAACCACCCAGGCGCCCCAACAATTATTATTTTAGAATACAAGAAAATATAACTTTATGCCTATGTATTTGGTGTCAGAAATTAAAGTGGTTTGTATTTTTTACAAAAATTAAAACCTTAGCTATTTTAAGTCCAGTGACCATGATACTGAACTTTTAAACTTTTAAAAGGGATTCATCAAAATTTACTTTTCATTATCCTACCATGTTTTCATTTCTCAAATTTGAACAAGCATTTCTGAAATAAATTTTACATGTTCTGAGTGGCATCTGCTGTGTTCACTACCAAAAGTTCTCAGTGAAAACTCGGGCAACATCTTTAAGCCTTGTCTATTAATGTTTAGGTATTTTTTTATAAAAAAAAGATAGTGCTCCGTCAATTCATATTTAGATTCTCTAATCTAATCTAATCTAATCTAATCTAATCTAATCTAATCTATATCTTAGTTAGATATACTAAGAGTTAAGTATATCCCCATTTTCTAACGATTGATAGATTGTATGTGAGCAACTATTACAAAAAGTATTTGGGTGTTTTAAATAAAATGCAGGGGTATTGTTGTTGGTGGAAGCATTGAAGCTGAACAAATAATTCCTATTTATCAGTTTACAACGTCAAACAACCTGCTTCCGTCTAAACCAGAGGTGTGTTGAAGACAGCCAGATCTCAGTGCTCTCAGATAGGCACTTGGAATGCTTATGTGAGTGGGTGTGTTTCTATTTGGTAATATCGTGGATAGAGTGCAATACACATAGAAATACTTAACGTTTGAAAATGATGAATGCAATGAAACAAACAATTCAGTAGTTTCTGATTGTTTTAAAATTTTAAATCTCAACGCAGGAACTCTTTACAAGCTTGTAAGCTAAACATCAGACCAGTGGTAGGTTAATTTTGCTAAACCAGGAGAGGGGAGTGTTGTCCACTTTTTATCGAAAGTACCATCACCTCACCACTTGTCCTTGGAAAGCTTTTGTAAGACTGCTTCATCGGTCTTCCTTGGTTACTTCACCTACCTCTGCTATTTAGCTGTGTAGCCTCAACCAAGTTACTAGCTCTCATGTTGAGACACTGGAGTTGGCTAGGTGGTCTTAAAGTGTTGTTCCTTGTGTCTTCCAAATTCTGATACTTCAGAGCTATGACTTCTATGCTAGTTATCCACTTTGCCACACGACTTAGCATTTAATTGGGTTTCTTCCTCCTCCTCCTCCTCCTCCTCCTCCTCTTCTTCTTCTTCTTCTTCTTCTTCTTCTTCTTCTTCTTCTTCTTC